CTCAGTTCAGAAAAGGGGTCCTTCAGAAGTACAAAAAATGCAGGCATATGGAACCCACTAGAGATGGCCAACTTGGTGGCTTGGGCTGGCTTGTGATGGCCCTGCTGGGCTCTGGATGTCAAGCTATGCATGTTGCCAGCCTTTTTATGAGACCAGCGATTCCTAGTCCAGTTGGTGCCAGGAAATACAGACGATGGCTGTCCCCTGGCATTGGTAAAAGCATACATTGCTACAGAACTGGAGAAAGATTGCATGGAAAGGATCTAGCAAAAGCTAGCGATGTCTTCATTCACAAGGAGAAACCCATTCACATATTTTCTGTCATCTTGAATAAGGGGCCTGTATTGGGATATTTGATTCATATAGCAGAGTTTTGCCCAGTTATAGAGGCAAGATATTGAGTACAGTAAAAAAAAATCTTCCAAGATGTTGTTGTTGTTCAGTCGCACAGTCGAGTTCGATTCTTTGCGACCCCATGGACCAGATCACGCCAGGCCTTCCTGTCTTCCGCCGTCCTCTGAAGTTGGCTCAATTTCATGTTCGTTGCATCTATGACACTGTCTAACCATCTCATCCTTTGCCGTCCCCGTCTTCTTTGGCCTTCAATCTTTCCCAGCATCAGGGTCTTCTCTAGTGAGTGCTCCCTTCTCATTTGGTGGCCAAAGTATTTGAGCTTCATTTTCATTATCTGGCCTTCCAGGGAACAGTCAGGGTTGATTTCTTTTAGGATTGACTGATTTGATCTTTTTGCAGTCCAAGGGACTCTCAAGAGTCTTCTCCAGCACCATAGTTCAAAAGAATCTATTCTTCGGCGCTCGGCCTTCCTTATAGTCCAACTCTCGCAGCCATACATGACTACTGGGAATACCATTGCTTTGACCATGCGGACTTTTGTTTGCAGGGTGATGTCTCTACTTTTTATCATGCTGTATAGGTTCGCCATCGCTTTCTTCCCAAGGAGCAGGTGTCTTTTAATTTCCAAGCAGTATATTGCCAAAAAAAAGGTAAACTGACATTTATTCAAGTAGATCCAGTTCATATTCAGGTTGCAGTCGAAAGACGAGAAAGAGGCCTTATCTAAAGAGTCCTTCCCCTATCACGAATGGCCAGCTCGTCCAGCATCATGTGTGTGGGAGTAGGAGGGCATTGCATCCACAGGAGAGACCTGCAGGGACACAAGTCTCCATGGAAGGCCATGTGCAGAGAGTGAGAGGACAAAGTGAGAGAGAGGAGGGGCCAGAGAGGGCAGCTCCCAGGTTAAGACAAAGAGAGGCACCCCATTCAAGGAGATAACACCTATGCACCCTTAGAGTGATGTAGAGCCCTCCCAATGCCCAGGCATGATGAGTCATTCACTCCAACACTCCGTCTTGACTCTGTGTGCTGTTGAAGTTCACAGTGTTCATGTTGTCCCACAGGCCTCAGTATTTGTCTCTTGGTGGTAGCTTGGTAAATATATCCACAGTCATTTTCTCAGTGGGACAGTAGTGTAGCTTGAAAGCCCCTGGTCCCTGTGTTGTACATATTAGATTCCATGTCAAAAA